CCCTGCACATACCCCAATTCAGCCCTCCTCCTGCAGCTTTTCCCAGCCTCCCCCCCCACACCCAGCGGGTAATGAGCCCTTAATCGCTGCCTCCAGGGGACCTGATTGCTGAGCCTCGTTAGTGTCCCCTCCCCCTCCCTGCTCTGTCATGGCCACTTAGTGATAATAAATCCCTCCCTACGCAGACCTTGGCAGGAGTCGTGGATCTCATGGAGAAGCTCCCCTCTTCTGGTGGGACCCTGGAGTCCAGGCCTCGGGCCCCTTCTCTCTTACACCCAGGATCCTGCCCCCACCGATCCCCCAACCCCCACCCGTGCCCACTCCCTACACCTGGGGCCAGGTAACCAGACAGAAATAAGTGTTTGGAGAAGCGCCTCACCCTAGGCTAGGTACCTGAGCAGGCAGGGGACACAGGAGGCAGGTGACCATATTTATTTATTCATATTTCAGTCCCACAAACACAGGCGCCTGTCTGGTGGGGCTGGTACCCCGTGCTGACTACAGCCAGGCCACACCTTTTCTTTTCTGGGAATGGACTTGCAGCAGGGACATCTGGGGAGAATCTGTGGCTGTCATCTGGGGACTGGGGTGAGGGGCACAGGGACACAGGGTTTCTGGGAGAAGAGACAAACAGACACAGAGAGATAGTGATGGAGAGACAGAGCAAGTGAAGAGAAAGACAATGAAGGGACAGGGAATCGGCGGGGGGGGGGGGGGGGGGGGACAGAGAGAAAGCAGGAGACAGAGAAAGGAAAGAAAGGTCCATAGAAAAATGGACACGGAGAGGCTGACCCTTGGGACTCTAGAGAAAGCAGTGGTTGGGGAAATGACCGAGGTGGCCATGCAGAAAGATACTGAGACCGGGAGAGGGGAAGACAAGAGATGCGACAGAGGGGAGGGACAGCGCGGAGAAGCAGGGGCCCGCGAGCCTCCCCTCACGGAGAAAGGAGAGCCAGAGGGGCAGACAGAGAGGGACGCGGACAGAAACACGCACAGCGAGGCAAAGAAAGAGAGGAAGACCACGAGACCCAAACGGAAAGCAGGGGAGGCTGCGGCGAGACGGCCCCCATCCCACCGGGGAGGCGATAGTGGACACCCGGTGGAGGCGAGAAGCGTGGAGTCCGCGACCCGCGGACAGACAGACGGACAAAGCCGGGAGTAGCCGGGCGGGGCCGGGGCGGGGCCGGGGCCGACTGGTCCCCCGCCGAGCGGGGGAAGGAGGGGCCCGGCTGGCGGCGAGAAGGGGAAGGAAGCGGAGGTGCCGGGCGGGCGCGGGGCGCGGGCAGGAAGCGGGGAGGGGCGGCGGGGCGGGGGCCTCCGGAAAAACGCCCCAACTTCCTGCCCCGCCAGAGCCAGGAAGCGGGAGCCGGGACGCAGGGCCCGGGATCGCCGAGCCCGACCTCGGGCGCCCCGCCGGTCACCTCCCCGCCGGACTCCAGGTACACGGTCCCGGCCCCGCCCGGCCTCCCGCCCCTCGGCTGCCTGGGGAAGTGGGGAGGAGGAGGGAGGGGGCCGGGCGCTGCCGGCAGTGCAGGGGCCTCCTCGGCGCCCCTCAGAGCCAGCGGCCGCCCCTCCGTGGGCCTCAGTTTCCCCATCTGTCAAGGGGAGCAAAGAGAGGAGAACTGACACCTGCCGAGTGCCCAGTAAGTGGGGATGAAGGGTGCAAGGCCGGGGTCAAGGCCTCGCAACTGTCCAGCGGAGGATGGATGATCACTCCCATTATACGGGTGGGGAAACTGAGGCTTAGGGAGCGGAACCGACTCGTCCCAGGGTCCACACACCGTGAGACCGAGTGGAGTTGGGATTTGAACTTGCAGGTGCTTTCAAGCCCCGTCCTCCAACCCCACATGCTTTAGGGCCACCGAAAAGGAAAAACGTCAATAACTACGCCGTAGGCCCCTGTGATGCTGAAAGTTGCAGAGCGCGTTTGAAAGCATTTTTTGGAAAGCTCTTTTTCTGGGCCATTAATTATATACCCTGAGAGATGGGTTGTAGATGACAGAGCTGGAGATCTTCCCCCATTGTACAGGCGGGAAGACTGAGTCTCGCGAAGAAGTAATTACTTTTTCCAGGTTACACTGCATGTCAGGGGGAAAGGTACCCTGGCACCCAGGAGTTTTGCTTTACGTCCCCGCACAAAGTGTGCGGCCGGGGCGGTGAGGGTGCCGGGAAAATTAGTGTCCGCCTTGGAAATTCAGCTGTTTCCGGAGTTAGGAAGGCAAGATAGGGTGGGGAACCCAGGCCGGAGACTTAAGGCCAGGGGCGACTCGGAGATCTCGGATTGAGCCCTGGGCCGGGGGAGCTGGAACAACCCTGTAGTCTGGCTCTGGGGGCGGGGGCGGGGGGCGGGGCACAGTAGAGTGACAGGGGTAGTCGAGATACGGAAACGCCAGCCCTCCGAGGCAGGCCAGAGAGGCCCTTTCTGGCCAGCGTGGCGCAGTGGAGAGCTAGAGCGGCCGGCGGGAGGAGTAGAGTCTCCCGGGCAGGAACCCGGCAGCAGCTAGGCTAGAGCGGCTGGCGGGAGGAGTGGAGCTGGAAGCAAAGGTAGACGCTGGGGCGCTAGAGCGACTCGGAGGCGGGGGTGGGGAACTTTGGAGCCGGCACGCAGAGGCTTCGGTTCTGGCTGCTGCGGTGGATTCTCCTACGACCAGGAGCAGGTGAGGGACGCGGCCCCCGGCGGGCGTCAGACCCTGACTCCGCAGGTCCGCCCCATCATCCCTGGCCGTGCGCCCCGCCACGTCCCTTGTAGTAGGATTTGGGGCCCGCGTAGACCCGCCACGTCCCACGTAGGATTTGGGACTGGTGTAGATGCCCCACGTTCCATATAAATTACAAGGTCCTACAGACCTACTAGTTTCCTGCTACCCACCCCCGGTAACTCGGCTTCTTACAGATGTGGGGTCCCCATCGGTCAGTATCACCCCCTAGAATCTTGGGTCTTGGGACCACCACATACGCCTATAGAATTTTGCTCCCGTTTTAAGTCTCCATAGGTCCCCTAGACTGGCTGCTTTACATACGGAATCATGATCCGGTGTGATCCTCCGTGTAGATCCACTTGTTTGAACTTGCCAATAGAAGAGAATCTGGAGCCTTACACTTTCCAAGGGCCTCTTGTGGACTTACCTTGACTACTCTGTATTTTTAGTTGTTTACGGCTTCCGGAGGTTCTTGGAGACCCGGGTCATCCACTCAGTGTCTTATAGACCCCGAACCTTGCATAGAATCCAGGTGCCCATATAGTCCCCGACTGGTGCCTGCTTTGCTCTAAGACCCACACCTCTAAGAACCTTCTAAACTTTCCCTGACCGCCACCACCTCCAGTCCCATGGACACAGTGTCCCTGCTGCTGGACGGTTGGCCTTTTCAGTTGCCTACAAAGCTATCTGACAGCCTCAGTGTGTGAATACCCTTTGTGGTACCCCCCCACCGTCTATCTTCTAAGCAGCCAACCCCCCACCTTCCCTTCCAGAATGCTCTCTGAGCCCTAAGCCTCTGTGGAGCAGCCTGAGCACTCCTGCCCAAGTCACAGTGCCCACAGACCCCTAACTTTCCCAGACACCATCAAGGGATCAGATGTGCCTCAACTTCGGTTCAGATTTTAGTTTCCTAAGGTTGGGGTGGGGGGTGGGATTCCCCGTGCTCTAAAGGAGCACATTCTCATAGTTAAATGTGTAAACTCTGAAGTCAGACTGCCTGGATCTGAATCCTCACTCTGTCCCTTAAGAGCTGTGCCTCAGTTTTCTCTTCTGTGAAATGAAGATAGTTACAAAACTGACCTCCAGGGGTCATTTAGAGGATTCAATGAGTTAATACCTGTAAAGCAATAATGTTATGCCTGGCATATACTTTATGACACTTAGCGCACACTAATGGTTAGCCACTGTTTCGTGTTTCCGTGATGAGGAATGCAGAGGTAATAGGCATCAGGTGCATGGTTGGGGCCTGCCTGGCCCTGAGCATTTGCTCACATGACATGTGTCCTCTCCTTTGCCCTTTTTGGAATCTCCCTGCCTCTGTTGAACCTCCCCCCCCCCCCGCCCCCGCAGTGGGGTGAGCATGGACCTTCCATGTGTGCGGTCATGTTTTCCAGAAGTTGCTGCCGGTGGCCTGGTGAAGGTTTTTGTCTCCAACGGGAGTACTAATTGCATGGGGTGCGTGTGGTTGTGAGCGTTGAGTGAGTTCAGATGTGAGAAGCACTTGGAGCAATGCCTAGCACGCTGTTAAGTGCTAGGTAAGTTTAGCTTTTGTAATAAATAATAGCTTTTTTTTTTTTTTTGGTGCCGGTTTGCAAGTTTATTTACGTGAAGATTTAACAGTGCTCAAATCTTAAATCACCCGAGCTTGGAGGTGGACAGAGGTGCTCTATGGAAGAGAAAGGGGATGTTGTGTGCTCTGGGGAACCCATGGGATGACACAGGGACACTCCAGAAAGCATCACTGTTTCATGGTCATAAACAAAATCCTGCCCACCGTTTATTGAGTGCTAGGGAGGAGGCCTGTGAAGGAGGCAGAAGGGTGAGCCTCAGGCAACCGGGGCTGTAAATAGCTTTGGGTTGTCGGGGGGAACCCCCTCCCCTTCCCCCACCACCCCACTGGTCCACCCTTCCCCACCTCCTTCCCGCCTGACACGGGCTCTCGTGGCATTAGTCAGACTAATTAAGGACCGAGAAGATGGTGGTGGGAAGACACAGGAAAGCAGAGACTCTAAGGGAGATGATGGGAGAGCCGGGGAGAGAGAGGGACAGTGCATGACACAGTGACTCGAGGACTCAGGTGGCTGCAGAACCAGATGTGGGAAGACAGATGCTGACAGAGGGGAGAGACAGCAATGAAAGCTAGGGCAAGGTATGGAGGGGGAGGGAGGGGAGAGATGGTGGGAAAGGGAGACAGGTCGGAAGGGAGGGAGAGAGGGAAGGAGACCGGGAGAAGAGAGGCAAAGACTTCAAGCACATTCAAGGGACAGACAGCCAGAGGACAGATAGCTGGCCACGGAAGGAGAGCCAGCAGGACAGATGGAGGCAGGGCAGGGGAGACAGACACACCTTGGGGATGAGCTGGCTGAGGACCATCCCTTGTTCTATGGGATTGGGAGCAGGGGGAGATACCAGGTCCCCGAGGGAAAGCGACTTCTGGGTCTCTGGAAAGAGGTTCAGAGTTTTGTTTTCTTATGTGGAGAGAGTTGGGGGTTGGGGGATTTGCCATTAGATTTCCTGTCACAGGAAGTGGGGCTGGTGGGTTCAGAGGCAACATCCGGCCCCAAGCCTGTCAGGTCTAGGAGAGCAGCCCCCACACACCCCATTTATCTCCTTTCTACCTTTCCTTTAACCTTCCCAACTCTGCTAGCCCCCAGGCCCTGCCTCCCTAGGACCCAGCCTGCAGCGCCCTCTTCCCTCAGACCCAGGAGTCCAGACTCCCAGTGCCGCCTCACTCAGACCCAGGAAACTAGGCTCCCTGCAGCCCTCTCCTCCCTCAGACCCAGGAGTCTAGGTCCCTGGCCTCTCGTTCCTCACACCGAGGAGTCCAGGCCCCCAGTTCCTCCTCCCTCAAACTCAGAAGTCTGGGCCCTTGGCCTCTCCTTCCTCATACCCAATCTGCAGCCCATTCCTCCCTCAGACCCAGGAGTCCGGCCCCCAGCCCCTCCTCCCTTAGACCCAGGAGTCCAGACTCCCAGTGCCTCCTCCCTCAGACCCAGGAATCTAGGCTCCCAGCCTGTCCTTTCTCAGACCAACCTGCAGCCCCTCCTCCCTCAGACCCAGGAGTCCAGCCCCCAGCTCTTCCTCCCTTAGACTCAAGAGTCAGGTCTCCTTTCTCAGACCTAACCTGCTGCCCCCTCCTCCCTCAGACTCAGGAATCCAGGTCCCCGGTCCCTCCTCCCTCAGACCCAGGAGTCCAGGCCCTCAGCCCCTCCTCCCTCAGACTCAGGAATCCAGGTCCCCGGTCCCTGCTCCCTCAGACCCAGGAGTCCAGGCCCTCAGCCCCTCCTCCCTCAGACCCAGGAGTCCAGGCCCCCAGCCTGTTCCCCATTAGAGACCCCAAATTACAGGCTTTCATGGCCACAGCTCTCTTAGGGACCCCGGCTCCTGGGCCTCCATCGCTTCCCCCACCCTCCCAAGGCTCCCTGTCCTTGGGCTCCCCGCCCTGGCTGGCCTCTGAAGGGCTCTTTGTCGCCACACAGAGGCCCCATTGAGCTGTGGAGGCCGGGATTGGGGCGGGGGACGCTGTTTACTCACCTTCACACCTGGGCCAAGAATCTGTGAGTAACTGCCCTGTGCCACTGTCTCCTGCCCCCCCAACCGTGGCCCCTCTTGTTCCCCAGCCCTGTGGAGCCCATGGAGGCAGAGGACATCGCCCGAGGGCTGGTGAGTGGAGAGAGCCTAGGGGCAGGGGACTGGGGGGGGCTGTGGGTTGGCATTGCACCCCGAGCTGAAGCCATCCCTCCTCTTCCATAGGCCCCAGGACCACCGCGGCCTGGCCTGGTGCCAGTCAGCATCATTGGGGCTGAGGATGAGGATTTTGAGAATGAGCTGGAGACGGTGAGGGGGAGATGGGATGGAAAAGCTTCTGTCCCTACCTCCGTGGGCCCCAGCCCTCAAGTCCCATCCTCAGTGTCCCCTCCCTCCTCAGGTCCCCCGTGGGATGCTGGCCCCCGCCTCCTCTCACTGCCTGTCCCTCTTTCTGTAATCTGGGTACCACAATCCTTGTTCCCTCCCACCCCATCCTTGGTGTCCCATTATAGCGTGGACTCCCACCCTTTTAACTCTAGCCCCGGGTTTTTTCACCGCCCCCCTTAATCGCAGCACAGATCCCTACTCCCTATGCTAATGTTTGTCCTCATAACCCCCCGTTGTACTGCTGACTCATCTGCTGTCCCTGACACCAGCCCCAGTCCCGGCTATTACGGTGTCATCGCTGCCAGGGAGGGGAGGGGTCAAGCCCAAGGTGCCTCTCTGCTCCCCACTGTCTCACCGCCTCGCCCTTCGCCCTCAGAACACAGAGGAGCACAACAGCCAGTTCCAGAGCCTGGAGCAGGTGAAGCGGCGGCCTGCCCACCTCATGGCCTTCCTGCAGCACGTGGCCTTGCAGTTTGAACCGGGACCCTTGGTGAGGGCGGGGCTGCGTGGGCAGAGGGAGGGCTGAGACCCGGATTGGCCACCCCGCTCAGTGAGACCGGCCAGAGAAGCCCAGCTGGGAGGGTCCAGGAAACAGATCCAGAACACACAGCGTGAGATCTAGAAGAGAGAGCCAGAGTGCTAGGCATGCGACCCAGGCAAGACTGCGGGTGCCCCATGGAAATCTCCGCAAGGAGCGAGTGCAGGGGGCAGGGTACTCAGAGCAGGGTCAGAGAGCAGTGGAGACCCCAGAAGCCAGCAGAGCCCCAGGCTCCCCACCCCGTTCCCTGCCCATGGTTGTGTCACCCGTCCATGGCCCCTCCCGCTGATCCTGGAAGTGGAATCCTCTTCCGCGGCCTCTGCAGGGGCCACCCGTCCGTCATTCAGGGCCCGGGGCTGTGGGAGGGAAGCCCCTGGCCTTCCCAGGCCCCAGAAACAAGGAACCACCGCAACCAGCCCGCACGGCAGAGCGAGCAGAATTCATTATCCCACCTACAAGGCAGAAATTTCCTGGGCCCTGTCAGGGGCGGCCATGCTGCCCTCTAGGGTCTGGAGAGCCCAGTGCGTGACTCAGGAAGGAAGAGGCCACTGCGCAGGCTTGAGGGGGGCGCTCTGGGGACAAGGTCCTTGTCGCAAGGAGACCCAGGGTGGCCCAGCCCAGGCTGCAACTAGGGTGTAGCCCAGAGCACTGGACCGGACTGGAAGTGCACAATAGGGTACATCCCCCCCCCAGCCAGACATGAGAGAGCTGCTGGGCTGGGATGCCCAGGGCTCCAAGAAGGAGGGGTGCATCGACTGACCCCAGAGCTTCAGAAATGGGCAGGAAATCGGGAAAATGCCTTCTCTCCAGAAGAGTGGCTGCCCCTCCCCTGCGAATGGAGGCTGTGCCCCTCTGGGCAAGGAGTTCCCCCTAGCGAGCCTGAGCTTTCTAGAACTTGGGCTCCTGAACTCAGGCCAGGGAGGGTGCTGACTGCCATGTCCTTTTACAGATGTGGAAACAAGCCCAGCCAGAGCCGGGGGCTTGGCCGAGGTGACCCGGGTGGCCCCCAGCATTCAGACTCTGGTCTGCTGCAGCCCCCTCGCATCATCAGCTGGGCAGGCAGCCAGGAGATAGCTGTGGCCCTGGGTTGCTTCCTATGGGCCTCTTGTGGGGTTTTGTCAAGGAGTTTGGGGGTGTGCAGAGATTGGAAGTGTTTATGGCAAGAAAACAGAGTCCTACCCCTACCAGGGTAAGGCCTTGGCACACAGACTGTGTTCCTTACCCAACGAGAGACCTCAGGAGCCAAGACAGGTGGGAGCGGGCAGCGAGGTGCCGGCACTGCCCAGCATGGGGCTGAAGGGCAGGCGAGCTCAGGGGACGAGTGGTGAATGAATGAGTGAGCCCCACTGGTCCACCTGGTTATTTGCCCAGCCCCCACTGTGCTCGGGGCCTCTCTGGGGGCACCGATGAGCCAGAACCTCCCTCCCTCTCTCTCTCACACACACACACGCGTGTCCCTCAGGTTTTTGCAGTATTTCTAGGCTGTGGGTTCTAGGGGAATAGGCTCTCTAAATTCTAACCCCAGCTTTGCTACTAAGTAAGTAGCAGCGTGACCTGGGGCAAGCTACTTAAGCCCAGTGTTCTCATCTATAAAAGGCGATAACAACCAGTGCCCACAACTGACCAGGTGAACGTGGACCAAGGGTTAGAACAGCACACTACAGGCCCTGGGCTTCTCAGCGTAGTAGGAGACAGCAGGAAACCAAACCATAGCCACTTCACAGGATAGAAAATGAGCAAATGGTCACGCTGGCCCCCGGGGAGGCCAAGAGAGGCAAGGGCCTGGGCGTGGGGGTGGTAGAGACCAGGGAGCTCTTAACCAGAGGACGTGAGCCTCAAGCTTTTCAAGGGAGAATGTGGTTTGGGGCTGGGAGGGAGAGGACACGTGATGCTCTCTGTCTCCCCAGCTCTGCTGCCTGCACGCAGACATGCTGGCTTCCCTGGGTCCCAAAGAGGCCAAGAAGGCCTTCCTCGACTTCTACCATAGCTTCCTGGACAAGACCGCGGTGAGAGACACCTCTGAGGGGCCCCAGTCCCCCCACATCCTGGTCCTGGGGAGACTCGGTGCCCACCTGGCCCTCCCTCCCCAGCTCCCTCCCCTCAGACCATCATTCCCAGCAGGCACCAGTGTGGTGACCCCATCACTGCCCTGGTCCTCACCTTTACCCTGTTCTCTGGCCCGAGCAGGTTTTGCGGGTGCCGGTCCCTCCCACTGTCTCCTTTGAACTCGGTAAGGAGAGAAGGGGACTGTGGGTGAGGGAGAGGTGTCCGGCAGGGGAACCCTGGGGCGGGAGGCCATACTCCCCTGCTCCCATGGACAGCACAGACTCCCGTCCTTGCCCCTGGCCCCGGCAACCCAAGGAAGCACACCCATCGGGGGTCTGAGGGTGGGTGGGAACGACCCCCAGCCCCCTGCCCGTGTCCCTGCAGACCGCACGCGACCCGACCTCCTCTCCGAGGATGTCCAGCGGCACTTCGTGCAGGATGTGGTGCAGAACCAGCAGGCCACCGTCAGCCGGCTGCTGGAGGACTTCCGCTCCAAGCGGCTCATGGGCATGACACCCTGGGAGCACGACCTGACCCAGCTGGAGGCCTGGGTTGGGCGGGACCGTGCCAGCTTTGAGGCCCGGGAGCGGCACCTGGCCGAGCGGCTACTGACCCACCTGGAGGAGATGCAGTGAGTGGGGCCTGCCCACTCCCCAGCCTGGCGTGGGGGTAGGGGTGGGGTCCCTGCAGCTTCAGGGTTCGTTCCTTAACCTTTGGGCTCTTCCCAGCTTTGGGGCACCCTCCCAGTTTCCAGGGCTTTCCATGGTCTTATGTTTGGGCCTGGCGCTTGGGTCCTGTCCTTGCTGCTCCGAGCTCCCAAGAGACGCTGCTCTCTGCTGTGCTCCTCCTTCCCCATAGCCGTGACCCTCTCCCTCTCCGTCTCGCCTCTCTCTGTTCCTGCGTTTAAGGGGCAGCACCCCGGACATCTGTGCTGGATAGACAGGGATCCAGGCTTAGCAAGTTTGTCGCAAACTTCTTCCTTCTTTTTGCAGACACACCATCTCTCCCGATGAGGAAAAGAGGTGATGAGAGAACGGCAGGAGAGGCATTTAGTCCCCCAGGCCCCAGGGAGGAGGACTGGGGATTGGGACCCTATCCTCTGGAGCCCTCTCCCCCTTCCTCAGACACTCACCTGGAACCGGTTGGGGGGCTGGGGTGGGAAGTGAATGCGGAAGGGAAGGCTTGGGGGACAGCAGTGTCCCCACGGCCATGGGCGTGCGTGTATCTGCACACATTTTGGGGCCCTGACTGACCCCTCCCCACAGTGCCGCTGTGGTCAGCGCCATCAGCCTGTACATGCGCCACCTTGGGGTGCGGACCAAGAGCGGGGACAAGAAGTCGGGGAGGAATTTCTTCCGAAAAAAGGTGCTTCCCCTGAGCACCCAAACCTGGCACTTCCCTCCCCAGAGGCCCCTGGGGAGCCCCGTGATCTGGGCTCCCAGGGTCTGATTCTGCTCAGTTATGGTCTCAGAGATGGAGAGCCCCCTCCTTCACTCTCCCTTCTTCCCTCAGATGATGGGGAATCGGCGGTCAGATGAGCCAACCAAGACCAAGAAAGGCCTGAGCATCTTACTGGACGCTGCTCGCTGGAACCGGGGCGAGCCTCAGGGTGAGGTGCCTGGCCTCTCCCCGCCCCGCTTCCCCACGGCACCCCTGCCTCACGGCCCCATCTCTCGTTTCAGCCCCTGATTTCCGACACCTCAAAGTCGAGGCTGATGGTAATGGTCCTGAAGCCGGCTGGGGGTGGGGGGAACCTGGGAGAGGGTGTGGGGATGTTCCTGGGCTGTGGGGAGGGTGGGGCTGGAGTGCAGGCTGCGGTGGATTAGACGCATTGGGCTCTCATTCCCCCCTGTTCCCTGGATGTCTCCCCAGCTGACAAGCCAGGCCTTATGGAAAGAAGGGGAGGCCTAGGGGTGCCCTCCCGGGACCGGAATGTCGGGGCTCCTGGGCAGGACGTCCCTGGAATTTCTCCACACCCTCTGTCTGGAGACAGCCCCGACCGGGAAGCAGGTGAGTTTCTTGAGTGCCTCCCTGCCCCCCAAGAGACCCCCCCCCAGTTCTCCACTTACCCTGCCCTGCTCTTGGTCCCCAGTGGTATTAAGAAACCACCCCCCTTTCCTCTGCTCACCTGCTTCACAGCTGTCCTCTCAGGTTCCAGCCTCTATCCTGGGGCTGCATAAGCCCCCCTCCTTGGACTACATTTCCCATCCGCCCCCAAGGCGTCATTTCCCAGAACCCTCTCAGAGTATATTGTCAGTTCCCTCCAGGGATCTAAGGCAACTGCTTGGCCAGTTCTGGGTTCAAGTCCCAGCTCTGCGGCTTAGTCAGGTTATATCTGGGAAGCCGTGTCTGAGCCTCAGTCTTCCTAAAAGGGGTCTATCCTCTCTCTGCAAGTCCTGGCTGAGGGTCGGGGAAGGAATGGACGTGGAACCTTCCCTGGTTCTGTGGTTCCCCCAAGCCCCCGCCCCAGCTGCTGTGGCCATGTTCTCAGAGGCCCTTCTATCAGTCAGTCCCCCATCCCCCACGCCACAGGAGGAGCTCGAGGCCCCCAGGGTGGGGGTCTTGCCATAAGGGCCTGGCAGCCAGCTTTGTTCTCCTCGCCACCCCACAGGTGTTGATGCCCCACCAGAGCTGGGGGACCCACCACCACAGGGCCCGGCCAGCCTGGAGCCCCTGGCGCCCCCAGAGAGCACTGAGGAGGGTGCTGACACAGAGAGGTGCCTGGGGCTGGGTGTGGGGGCAGGGGTGCGGGGCGCAGGAAGGGGCTTATCAGGCCCCCGGGAGGGGGGAGGTTACGCGTGTGCTGTGCCGGGGGTCGCGCTGCCATTTGCTCCTGCTGTCCCCAAGCCATCTCCACTCTGCTCTGCTCCTCCCTCTGTCATCTTCTGCCTCCTCTTTCCTCCACTTTCTCTTTTCTCTCCTCCTCTTCTCTTTCTCCTCCTGCACCTCTTCTTCTGCTCTTCTTGGCCTCCCTGTACCTCCTGCCCCCTCCCTCAACCCTTCTTTAGGTTGTCATTCCCTCCTCTCCTCTTCCGAGCCACTGCCCTGCGCCTTGCTCCCGCCCCTGCCTTCCTGTGCCCTGTCCTCCAGCCCCCACCCTCTGTGCTCCAAGCCTGGGGGCCCTGTCCTCCTCACAGTTGGGGGGCAGGCTCTGCCCCCTGCCCGTCCTTGTGCCGCTGCTTTGGGGACCCTTTGGTGGGCGGGGGAGGTGAGTTGGGTTCCATTTGGGTCCTCCTCTGACCCTGTGCCCCTCTCTCCCCAGAAGATGGAAGAGGTGGGTCTGGGGCCCTGGGTGGGGGGAGGGCTAGCCCCTCCCCCATTTCTCCCAGCCCCTCCCCTCTCCCCATGAGCCATCCCCTCCCCTTCACCCTGCAAGGGGTGGGTAGGGACATCACCCTCCCAGCTGAAGAGCTAAGTATTGAAATCTTCCCTTCCTCCCTCCCTGCTCTGTCTGCCCAGCCCCTTGCCTCAGGGAAGGGAGGGGTCAATCCTCTGCTGGTCTGGGTTTCCTTCCCCACCCCCACCAAGTTTCCCAGTCCCTCTTGACCACCCCCAGTGCCCCAACAGCCCAAAGTCCCAAGTTCCACTGCTCCTTCTGACTCTCTCCTCTCTTCTGTTGCATGTTTGGTATCTGTCCTGGTCTCCCCTATCTTGGTCCCCTTCTGTCCCTGTCCTGGTATCTCCCCACCTCTGGTCTTGTCTTGGTCTCTCCCTGTCTCTGTCCCTGTCCTGGTCTCTCCCAACTGTCCCTGTCTTGGTCTCTCCCTGTCTCTGTCCCTGTCTTGGTCTCTCCCTGTCTCTGTCCTGACCTCTGCCTGACTCTGCCTTTGGCCTTGGGGTCCAGGCTATCGGGGCGTCTGGGGCGCTCGGAGAGCCTGCGGGTGAGTGACCGCCGCCGGCCTTCCCGGGGCAGCCTCGGGGCTAAGGGCCGGGGTGGGGGCCGCTCCCGGAGTGACGTGGACATGGACCCCAGCTCTGCCACGGCCGTGCTTGGCCCTACCCGACGAGCCACGTAGGTCATTCCTCCTCCATCTACTGAGGCAGCCTGGAGAGTCAGGAGGATGGCGGGGGAGGGGTTGTTGCCAGAGTTAGAGAGAACTGGGTATTGGTCACTGATGTCACAGGAGAGGGGTGGGACTCTTCTTTCTTAGAGATTTGGGGCCTGCTCTGGAGGCCTTGAATGCCAAGGCCATGGGGCGGGCCGATGGGGGTGGTGGGTGGTGGGGCTTCGACACTAGGAATGGAAGTCTCCTCCCAGGGATGCCCCAAGCTGGGGCCCTAACAAGGCCTCTGTCTCACAGCCCTGAGCCTGGAGACGAAGGGGACCCGGCACGGTCAGGACTAGAACTAGAACCAGAAGAGCCCCCTGGCTGGCGGGAGCTTGTCCCCCTCGGCACCCTGCACAGCCTGCCCAAGAGCCAGGTGAAGCGGCAGGAGGTCATCAGTGGTGAGTACGGGGGACGCTACCCAGTTCCGGCGAAGGGACAAGGTGCTGTCCATCTCTGTGTGCCACAGGCCACGGGCCGGACTTGAAGGCAGCCTGTTACCACTGAGGGCCGTTTGTCACATACATTGTGGAACAGCCGCTCGTGAAACAAGAATGTGTCAGCTGTCAAAGTGACATTTGCTGCGAGTTTTTTTCCTAGTGCAGGGCAGAGCTGGTAAGAGCTGGAAGGGCCAAATGAAGTTGTATTTCTCAAGGAAATATTTGTTTCCTTATTCGGGAAGTAATAGTTCCCACCTCAAAAGACAGTCATGGAGCTGAGGGGAATCGTGGGAAGTGTTTAGTGTGGTGGGGGGCCAGGTAAGAACATTCCAGTGTGGACTTAACCGTTCAGAGGCAAAAGCAGTGCCATGGGGACAAGTTCCGGAAGATACTCAGTGTATCTTCGGCGCTTGTTTCTGGGCAGGGAGATGATGGAAGTATCCTTTCTATGTTGATTCTTCTCTGCGATCTCGAACTGGGTGTGGGGTGGGCGTTTGGCAAAAGTAGAACACTTCTTTGGAAGCTCTGGTTTAGAAGTTTTATTTACACGTTGCTTAATAGTAAGAGGGGAACTCATTCGGAAGTTTTAGGGCCGTAGAGGAATACTTCTTGTGTTCCAGATCCTTCTAAGGATACGAGCCAAATACAAAGCAGTGTTATCTGATAAAATTTTCTGGAATAATGAAAACTCACAGCCTCTGTGCTGTCCAGCACGGTTACCACCAGCCGCATAATGGCTGTTGAGCACTTGAAATATGACAAGTACCACTGACCACAGAACTGTATTTCATTTCAGTTAAAATCCAAAGGACTGTGTGTGGCTAGTGGGTACCGTAGTGGACAGCACAGCCATTTCCCTCATCAGAAAAATATTCCTAAAACGGAGTTGTGCGTTTATAGTCTCCAGGAACTCCTGGGGCCCCTGAAACCCAGGCATGCTCCCTCGTGGCAGTGGGGCGGGGGGAGAGGGGTTCCCTGGATCCAAGGCTATCAACGTGTGTGTAAAGGGTTATTGTTCCAGAAACCAAGGCCGAGGGACTTGCTGGATGTTACACAGCCTTAGGCTTGCTGGTGGTGGTGCAACCAGCTCATCCCAGTTCGCCTGGAATTTTCCCAGGTGTAGCACTGACAATCCCATGTTCGGGGAAAGGCGTGGGTGCCAGGCACAGGGGACCACTGGTCACCCGGGCTGGCTGCCGCAGCCCAGGAAAACCAGCAGTGGGATAAGGAATCCTCAGTGGCTAGTTTGGCGGCAAATGATTCCACCCAGGGAGAGTTATCCCTGTCCCCCCACCCTGAGCCTGCCTCTGAGATTGTGTGCACCCCCCCACCCCCCGCGCCCTTCCCACCCATGCTTCCTGCTTCCGCAGAGCTGCTGGTGACTGAGGCCGCCCATGTGCGCATGCTCCGGGTGCTGCATGACCTTTTCTACCAGCCCATGGCAGAAGGGGGCTTCTTCTCCCTGGAGGAGCTCCAGAACATCTTCCCCAGCCTGGACGAGCTCATCGAGGTGCATTGTGAGTGCAGGGCTGTGGCCCGCTGTGTGCCCCGCTGCCGGCTCCCTCCTCAAGGCCTCAGTGGCTCAACTGGAGCCTAGCACATTCTCCTTGAGTGCCTGGCATGAGCAGCTTCCTTTCTAGCCCTGAGGGCAGCCCCAGACCCCCCAGAGCTCATATTCCCGGGGCATGTCAACAAGGGCATGGCATCGGGTGGGTGGTGGCCCCTCGGCCCCCAGGATCCGACACCTGCAGCTCGACCGCCACTGCCTCCCGCTCCGCTCTGCGCGCTGCAGCTCTGGCCCTGACAGTGCTCCCTTCCCTCACCGCTCTCCACAGCCCTGTTCCTCGATCGACTGATGAAGCTCAGGCAGGATAGTGGCTACCTCATTGAGGAGATCGGAGACGTGCTGCTGGCTCGGGTGAGGGTGCCCAGCCCCTGCCTCCTCCTGGGGTCCCCTCTTTCCAGCCAGGGACCTGGAATCCAGGCCCAGGGAGGCCGGTCTCAAGCCCCTCTCCCATTAAGACCCCGGGGTCTGGGCCGCTCACTGCAGGCGCCTGTCGAGGCAGCTGTTCCCACGTGAGGCCTGGCTCTTCCCAATCCCACCTGAGACACCCTCCCTGGCCTGAATCTCGCTGTAGTTTGATGGTGCCGAAGGCAGCTGGTTCCAGAAAATCTCCTCCCGCTTCTGCAGCCGCCAGTCATTTGCCTTAGAGCAGCTCAAAGCCAAGCAGCGCAAGGAGCCTCGGTTCTGTGCCTTTGTGCAGGTGAGGGGGAGGCCCGGGTCTGGGGGTGGGGGGGTTGGGGGAAGCGGTGCTGGTGTCACAATTCCTGCCCCGTGCCCCCACTGCTGGGCCACTCAGCGCCACTCTGCCCACAGGAGGCCGAGAGCCGCCCCCGGTGCCGCCGCCTGCAGCTGAAGGATATGATCCCCACGGAGATGCAGCGTCTGACCAAGTACCCGCTGCTCCTCCAGAGCATCGGGCAGAACACAGGTGCCGGCGCAGGGCCCGACGGCAGCAGGGCCCCCGCTTCCGCGGGGCGGGGCGGGCCAGGAGCTTCCTGGCTCAGGGTCACCAGGGCCTGCTTCTCCTTTGCCACAGAGGAGCCAGCGGAACGAGAGAAAGTGGACCTGGCCGCTGAGTGCTGTCGAGAAATTCTGCACCACGTCAACCAGGCCGTGCGCGACATGGAGGACCTGCTGGTACGCCTGGCCGTGGCCATGGGCCCAGGGCAATGGGGCGTCCATGTGTGGAGCTTGGGCGGGCCTTTGTCTTGTCTATCTCAGGGCCCCTTCTCTGGAGGCCAAGCCCTGCCCTCAGCTTGTCCCCTTCAGGGTCACTGGGGGTCAGCCACAGCCTTCGGGTCCTCCCCGTGACTCTCCCTCCCCCCCCACCCCCCCGCAGCGACTCAAGGATTATCAGAAGCGCCTGGACTTGTCCCACCTACGGCAGAGCAGCGACCCCATGCTGAGCGAGTTCAAGGTGGCCCTGCCCTCCCCAGCCTTCCCCTGCTCTCCGGCAGCCCTGCCCCTCCTGCCCCGGGAGTTCTCTGCTAATGCACCCTAGGAAGGAGAGCCACCCCTCCGCCCAGAGCCCCTCTTCAGTCCCAGCTGGTTGCCCCTCCTGACCCCTGCCCTCCCCTCCCCTGCCGTGCCCTGCGCACCGGGTACACCCTCCTGCCTCCAGAACCTGGACATCACCAAGAAGAAGCTGGTGCATGAGGGCCCGCTGACGTGGCGGGTGACGAAGGACAAGGCTGTGGGTGAGCGCGGGGGCCGGGGCCGGGGTGCTGGGGGGGTAGGGGCGGCCGTTAAGCCTGGGCCTTGCCCTGCAGAAGTCCACGTGCTGCTGCTGGACGACCTGCTGCTGCTGCTCCAGCGCCAGGACGAGCGGCTGCTGCTCAAGTCCCACAGCCGGACGCTGACACCCACACCCGACGGCAAGACCATGCTGCGGCCGGTGCTGCGGCTCACGTCTGCCATCACCCGCGAGGTGGCCACCGGTGAGGCACAAGCCTGCGGCGTGGGCGGTGACCGACCGGGAGGGCTGGGGAGCATGCGGGGGTGGGGGGCACCAGGGGGCCTCAGCAGAGGCGAAGAAGGCAACCAGGGGACCAGGAGCGTTGTGGGTCTTAGGAAGGGAGCCCGGCAGCTCCCCTGGGGTTTGCAGGGAGCAGCCCGCTCTCATCAGTCTTGGGAAATGCCCCCTGGCTGTCTCCTGGGGACCCCAGGGGAGCGGGGGTGGGGGAGGACAGAGTTGGGGGTTTGCAGAGGTGTATCAGCGGCTCCAGGGGTCTGTGGGGCGAGCCAGACTGGGGACTTGCTGCCTGATGGACGAGGGGTATGAGATGGAGGCCTCGGGACAAGGCACGTGAGGGATGGCATGAGCTGTGGGAGCCCGAGGCCACTGCCAGCAGGGGCTGCCCCAGCCTCTAGCCCACACTTAGGGGAAGGCACATGGGGGTGACCTTGGCTCTGAACCCCTTCTCCCTTCTTCCACAGATCACAAAGCCTTTTATGTCCTTTTTACGTGGGACCAGGAGGCACAGATCTATGAACTGGTGGCCCAGACCGTGTCGGAACGGAAGAAGTGAGGGTGGCTCCAGTGGACGAGGAGGCCTGGGCTGGGGGGTGGGAGGCTCCGGCACAGGATCTGGGGGCTCTGACTGCCTGCCCCGGGGGCGCTGACCTTTCTCCCCAGCTGGTGTTCCCTCATCACCGAGACTGCTGGATCCTTGAAGGTCCCCGCTCCCGCCTCTCGTTCCAAATCCCGGCCCAGCCCGAGCAGGTGAGGGAGGACAGTGGAGGCCTGAGGAGCCGGGGAGTTTGAGCTCCGGGTGTGTGTGTGTGTGTCTGTCTGTGTGTGCATGTGCCACCACCACAGCCTCTCTGGCCCCTACCCAGGCTCCTCTGTCTCCATCTCCCAGCCTCAACATTTTTTTCTGTTTGTGCCCCCCCCCCCGCCCCACCTGCTGTCTCCCTGCCGCCCCCTCCCCAGGGCCAGGGCTGTGGGATCACTTAGTCCTTCCTCCCCCCAGCACCCGAGAGCCCCTGCTCAGCAGCTCGGAGAATGGCAACGGTGGTGGCCGAGAGATGCCCCCAGCGGATGGTGAGCCTTCACGGGGGGAGCTGAGGGGGGCGGGCGTCACGAGGAGGCCCAGCAACAGCTGAACACCCCCTCCGGCTTCTGCCTCCCACCCAGGCAGGACAGAAAGGATCCTTAGCATGCTCCTGCCCTACTGCAGGCCCGGCCCCGAGGGCCAGCTCGCTGCCAAGGCCCTGGAGAAAGGTAGGCCACGCGGGGCTGCCTCTAGCCCCCCTTCCCAGCTTGCCTCCTGCCCAGGCCCAGTGCGCCCGGCCTGTATCCCCACTCTCGGTGGCCCCAAACCCCCTCTTCCTTCCACAGCCTCTGTCCCTCCCTTGACCTTCCGTTCAGCCTCTCCCTGGACGCCCTCCACCCTCTGTGTTCCTTGCCTCTCCTCTGCACCCCTTCACATCCCCCAGCCCCACCCTGGCCCCCACCTTCCCCTCTGGGATCCCCCCTGCCAGCCTTCAGCCTCTTTCCCAGCCCTGCTTCTGACTCTGTCCCCTTGTCCCTGCCAGTGCTGTCCCTGAAGCAGCTCCTATTTCCCTCGGAGGAAGACAGCGGGGCGGGGCCTCCCCGTGAAGGGGATGGGGTCCCAGGGGGCGGCTCCCAGAGCCAGAACCAGACCCAGGAGATTCGGGAGAAGCTGCTCGGCCTGGAGGAGACTGTGAAACAGCTGGAGGTGGCGCCCTAGGGGGAGGAGTGCGGTGGGGGGAGACTGAGTGGAGTCCAGGCTCCGTGGAGGGACCTCTCTCACTGCGGACTCTCCAACCAGGAGGTAGAGGAGGAATTTTGTCGCCTGCGACTCCTCCTGTCTCAGCTCGGGGAGAACGCTGCCCCCCAGCCTGGCTGTACCTGAGGCTCCCGGCCCCAGGCAGGTAAGTGGAGAACTGGAGGGACCAGAGTGGGCGTCTCAGTGGCTCCCTTCTCTACAGCCCCCTGCTGCTCTCTCCCTCTGCCTCAGTCTCCCTGCATGTCCCCATTCCACCTCCTGCGCCCTCCTCCTCAGGCTCTTCTGTGTTCTCTCTGCCCCTCCTCCCTCTCCCCCTTTCTCTTCATCTCTCCCCATCTCCCTTTTCCTACATCCCCCAGGCCTTTCGCAAGACTGAGGGCCACCCGCTGCCACCGCACAGCTGCCACCGCACAGCTGCCTCTGCATCTCCACCCCAAGGGCCTGAGGAGAGGGAGCTGGGCTGCTGGGGCGAGGGGGGGGCCGTACCTGGGGGGGGGGGGTCCCGCTGGGATCACTGCCTCCCCGCAACCTCCCATGGCCTGGGCCTTCTCTCCCTCCTGTCTTCTGCTTGGGGGACTCAGGGCTTCCTTCCCAGGGGGACCACAGTGACCCTGCCATGCCCCGGACCATCACAGTATTGCCGGTGGGGGGGGGGCACCCCTCCATTCCCCACCCCCAAGTGCCTTTGCTCTGTTTTTATACCCTGAATTGGAGGTTTATTTTTTAATATATATTATCTAAGGAGAGCTCTGTGTCTGTGAGGATGGGTGGGGGCCCCGGAGTGGGTTCTGGAACCCTCCATGACTGGCATCACTTTCCTGGGTCTGTCCCACTGCCTTTGTCCGGTCCTACCAGCAACTCCCCAGGTGACGCGCCCACCCCAACTCACCCGTGACGCCTGGACAGCTCATGCTCCCTTCCATTCTTTTATTTTTGTAGTAAACTCTCTGGAGGTGGCTAGTGGGGGTTGTGGGGAGGGGGCCCTCCTGGGTGGGGCTGGGGGCGGGGTTATTGCTCTGAGCTCCCTGTCCCAGGGGGCTTGTGTGAGGAGGGGGTCAGGGCTGGGGCTGGCACAAGGGGGGAGACAGCCGCACAAACACACAGGGCACAGCACGGGGGGCGGGTGGGCAGGAGAGGCTGGGCGCCATATTGCACTTTGGGAGTGGGGCCAGGCGGGGACCCCCCTCAAACAAGCATGGGCAGGAGGCTCTAGGCCCTCACGTTCCCTCCCTCTCTGGATGGGGGAGGGGAGACCCCAGCCTGGAGTGAGGGAAGAAGGTGGGCAGCCAAGTGCCCAGTCCTGGGAGGGGGTTGAGGGCTGGTCCCCGGCCTTGGGCGGGACATTGAGGGCAGGCCAGGCCAGGCACGAGTGGCTGCCCAACCCCCACCCTGGTGGAACCCTTCACCCCACACGGGTTCAGCTGCCGCTACCCCCTTTGCTTGCCTTGGCCTTGGGGGGCACAGGGAGGCCCTCGTCGCCCTCGCTGTCAGAGCTGCAGCCGCTGACATCCGTGATCTCCAGCTCCGAGTCGCTGTCGTCCTTCCCACCCAGTGTGGCCTCCGGACCCCTGGCTCCCGGCAGCGCCAGGCGAGGGGCTGCTGCCAGGCCTGAGGGGCGCTCGGGGCCCAGGCCCTCCCCTGCCGCAGCCAGGAGGGGTGAAGTCGCAGGGCCTCCCCCAGCCCCTGCTGAGGGCAGGTGGCCCAGGGTACTGGCCAGAGGGTTAGGGTAGAAGTGCGGGGGGTACAGAGAGGGGGGCAGCTTGGGGAAGGGGCCAGTGAGATACGGGTTAAAGTTCCAGGGGTAGTCTGGGAAGGCGCGGCTGTAAGGACCCAGCAGGCTGGGGGGCTTGGAATAGCCAGTGGCACCTGGGGAACACGGGGTGGGTCAGAGTGGGCACACCGCCACCGTGGGAAGGTGCCCCCACCCTGCGCCGTCTGCCGAGGTCTGCCCATTGTCTCCCACGCAGCGTCTGCCCACTCCACCTTCACCTGGTTTTTCCAGTCCTTTGTCGCCTAAAAGCCCCTCTCCCAGCCTGTCCCTGCCCCCGTTTCTCCCCTCCCTCTCCCCAAGTCCTCCTGTGGCTTTTAAACACAGGCACACACGCAGCCTCACCCTGGGCCTCCTTCCTGCATCCTTCCTCTCCTCATCTTTACCCATCCTCTTCCCTCAGACACGGGCAGTGTGCCCCCCCAAAACCAGCACCCACACCCGCAGGCCCTTACCAGAGCCCAGAAACGGAAAAGGGCTGTCCAGACGCAGCTTGTCTGTCTCAGGAGGGAACAGGGGCGCTCGGGCCCCTGGCTCTCCCAGGCGAGGGGCCGAGAACAGGGTCTGCAGTGTCTGCAGAGGGAGGTGAGGGAGGCAGCACAGCTTAGACAGGTTGGGTTGAAGGCTGGAGAGAGGGCACCAAACCCCCCAGTTTGGGGACCCCAGTGTCCTAACTCACCTCGGGGGTAAGGGGAGGAGCATCTGGCCCAGGCGTCCCCCCAAAGGGACCAGGGGTCAGCAAGAATGGGGAGCCCGTGGTGGCTGCTGCCACATCCAACAGTGGGTAATTGACAAGTACGACTTTGCTGAAGTTGAACTTGTAGGTGAACCTCTTCCCTTTGGTCTTATGGAGAATCCGCTTGTTGTAGTAGTAGCTGTGGGGAGAGGGAGGACGAGGGGATGCTGGGGAGGGGCACCAAGGGAGGTAAAGAGGGCACCCCTGACTCATTAGTGCACAGAACACTAGCCGGGAAACGGAGGTTCACAGAAGTCCTTTAACCAAGGTAGCAAGGCAGGGGTGAAGCAGGGGCTGGGATCCTGGCTTCTGGCCTTCCTCCTCGCGTCCCTCCCTCTCACAGGTAATCACAGGAACTACTCCACGGAGATCCCTGCGCCTTGGGATCCCAGGGACTCTGCCCTGGCAGACCGAGAGCAAACCCCCAGGGCCAGCCTCCCCCTGCCCCTCCTCACCGCAGGGCCCGGCTCAGCTTGTCGTAATTCATGTGAGGCTTGCACTTGCGGATGCCCCAGAGCCGAGCCACTTCGTCGGGGTCCTTGATGACGAATTCCCCGTAGTCCCCCTGCCAGGCAATGACCCCCTGATACTCCTCCTTCTGCAGCAGCTCCAGGATAAAGTGCCACAGCTGGATCTGCCTCGAACCAGGGGACGACTCCGGCTTGTAGGCCCAGTCCGGGAAGGCAAACCCTGGGGACGGGAGGCAGGGGAGTGGCCCCAGGTCAGGACGCCAAGTCCAAGGCTCTGGGTCCCCCGTGGACTCGGGAACCAGGAGGCCCCCCCTGAATCCTGGTCTCCGAGGAGCAGCTGCCCAGCCTCAGCCATCTTTAGGGAACCAGTTCCCACTCTCTCTACCCCACGTGGCTTCCAGGCCCCAAACTGTCCAAACAGTGGCAGAGAACTCCGTTGTCCAGGGAGCCCGGGGTCGCACCTGCAGCTTCCTCCTCTACCTTGGCACAACTTGTCCGCGTTCGGGGTCTGGGGGTAGAGTGTGGGGAGGCCACGGGAGCGGCACCCCTCCTCGTCCACAGCCTTTCTCCCGCTGCCCCCTCCAGCCTAGCCCCAGGAGGCCTCTGGTCTCGCCTGCTCTCGGGAACACCCTCAGTCTTGCTGTCTCCCCTCCTCCCATGCCCTTGCCCCCCAACCCCCCCCCAGCTCCATCTCTCCCTGACGCCCTCCACTGACCACAGGCTGCCACGTCCAGGCCTGTCTGCGCATTCATACCTTTCACGTCCTGTGTCCCCTCCCTACGTCTGTGCTCCGACGCTCTGAGCGCCCGTGCGTCAGCAGACACCCACAGCGTACAGGTCCCACAGACGTCCACTCACACTCCAGGGGTGCCTGGCGACACCATGGCCCACGGGGGGGGGGCAGCAGGGTGGGGCGCGGCAGCTCACACACAATGCGCCGCCAAGGAAGGCCCTCCAGACCCCTGGCCCTGCACTCATGCGTCTCGGGCCCCTCAGAACTGGGCCCCGCTAACCACACTGCCATGTCAGGAGACACACAGGACCGCAAAGGCCCGGCTACCAGTGCGGCATCAAAACAAGCGTCCACCTAACAGGCACACACGGGGTGACACCACGCCTGTCCCCCTTTGCATCAGAGACCGCAGGCCCAGACATGGGGATGGAAGGATTAGCCTGGAAGGAACTAAGCTTGAGCTGGGAGAGCAGCCACGTGACTTATGTGCTGCGTACTCCCAGGGCAGGTCCCTGCCCTCTCTGGCTGACTAGAGTTTCAGGGGTGGGAGGCAAGGAGCAGCAGGGTCCCACCTGGGCTGCCTGGTGTGTCCCTGGGTGCTAGTGCCTCCCCTGCTGAAGGCTCAAAGGCTAGGCAGCTTCCTCCCTGAAAGGATCATTTTTCTCTCAGCCCCATTTTGGGTCTTTCTTACTCCAGGACACAGAGCTCCATCAACCCACAAGCTCTGGCACATTCCACACCTGGAACACATCCTAGTGTGGAAGAGGCAACCCCAGAGATGACACCACACAACTGGCCATACACACGCAGATACACACCCCAGTCTGGAGCCACCATCTGTTCTCAAACACACGTCCCCAGGTACATTGTACCTGCTGACACACGAGAGGACCCACCTCAGCCCACAGACACACACACATTATGACGACCCCCCAAAGTCCATCACACTCAGTGAAACACAGATGCAAGAAACCTCCTGACACACACACCCCAACACACACACAGGCCTGGGGGCACCCACCCGCCCAGCCCGAAGCCCACTGAGACCCCCATCCTGGACCCTGGCCCAGACCCAGAAGTAACAGCAGCAAGCTCCTCACCCCACAGAAGCAGGGACGTACTTGGCGAGCTGGCATCACCCCGCCAGTCCTGAGACATAAGCATGCTCGCCATCCCAAAGAACCACCACCTGTCCGGCGCAGAGACACCCAGGTAGGCTCCCGTGTGTGTGCAGACAGGCACAACGGCTCACACAAAGACTGACGCCACACAGACATACTCTCCCAGTGTGACCCCCTTTTCCAGAAGCTCCAAAGCGTGACACAGGGACACATTCTGAGACCCCACATAGAAGCAGGCACAGACTCCCAGTTCGCGCGTGCGCGCACACACACACGCACTCGCGCACTCACACACTGCCCATCTGAGGGGCGTGTGACTTGGCACGTCCAAGCCAGTCTTACTGTCCACATCCCCAGCTCTGAATGTCCACTTCTGAGCAGGCCGTCCGTCCTCTCTCCCAGGGCTCCAGCGGGCCAGGCCATGTCTCCATGTCCCCCTGCCCAGGCAGGCCCTGTCTGTCTGTCCACCTGCACCTGGTCTGTTCCCCCATGGTCCCCGCCCCTGCTCCGTCAGTGCCTGGCCATCTCCATTCTCCTTGCCTCTCTTTACCGGAAGGTCCTGGACGGGAGCAGGCTGAGAGGTACACAGCCGGGACCCCAGGACCTCAGACCCCTGAATCCTGTCTATTTCAGACCCCGATACCTCCCCCACCCTCCAAAGACCCTCATGACCCAGCAGGCAAGTGGCAGAGACAGCTGGCTGTGAAGTTTTTAGCCAAGTTTCTCATTAGGGGGTTGCATTGAGGGGACTGAGAGAGAGACTGGAACAGAGGAGGGAGGACAAGGAGAGGTGCAGAAAGGAAGAGCTGGCTGGCTGGGAAGGGGAGGGAGGTCCGGGCCAGGGCCAGTTACCAGGGGTCCAGAGAGCCGGCAGGGCGGGCGGGGCGAAGAGAAGGTCGGAGACGCAGCTACAGTCCATGGTGGAGCCAGCCCTGCAGAGAGGCCGGGACAGACACGCAGGGACAGGCAGGCAGCAGGCAGGAGAGATAGACAGGGGTCAGTGGGGTGGGCGCTCCGCCCAGGCCCACCCATCCTGCCACCCGCCGCCCTCTCCACCCACGGCCAGCCGACCCTTCCTCCCGAAGCCTCCTCCTCGCTCTGTGCCTTGATCACTACCCACAGCGCCCCCCGGCCTCCCTCCCCACTGCTCCCACTGGCTCGCTTGCTCACACTAGCTGGCTCGCCCCCTGCCCGCCCCGTGCAGGCTCTGCCGCTGCCTTCTCTCCAGCCGCTCTCTCGTGCCTGACCTCTCAACCGTCTCTGCGTCTCTGTCCCTCTCTCTGGCTGTCCCAGATTTGTCTCTCTTTGAACCTCGCCCCCACCCCATGGCCCGCCCAGCAGACCCCAGGGCTGGCTCATCTAGCTCCCAAGCAGCCCCCAGCTTTCATCTGCCAGCCCAGAGCCAGCCAGACTTGGCCTGCCCGCCCCGCACCCTGCAGGAAGGCTCCCACAGCTGCCCCTCCCCAACCTGCTGCCCAGCCCTCGGACCCCTGCCACTTGCACCAGCGCCCCCACCCCTCAGACACCCCTTCCCCTTGGATCTGCCTCCCCCACCAAACAACACCCCAGATACCCCTTCCTCTCAGATCTACCTCCCCCACCAAACAGCACCCCTCAGACACCCTTCCCCTTGGATCTGCCTCCCCCTGAGATAGCCCCCTAGATACCCCTCTCCTTAGATCGCCCCCTCAAATAGACCTTCCCTCAAACATCCCTCCCAACAGCTCCAGACACTCTTCATCCTTGGATATGTCTCCCCTCAACACAGCCCCCCTCAGACACTTCTGCCCTTTAGATCTACCCCCCCCAACAGTACCCCCCAAACCCCCCTTCCCCCCCCAGACTATGCCCCCCCCCTAGAAACCCTTACCCCTTTGGATCTGCCTCCTCCCTCAGACAGCTCCCGGCAGACCCCCTTTCCCCCTTGGATATGCCCCCCCTCAGACCCCTACTCCTTCAGATACCCCATCCCCCTGAGACACTCCCTCCCCTCCTCTCCTGTCTCTCAGAACCTTTACCTTCCGCCAGTCCCTCCCCTTAGATGCCCGCAATCTCGGACACCCCCCCCACATCTAACCCTCAGACATCTGCTCCTCTCAGACACCCACCCCTCAGACACATCTTCCCCCTCAGATACCTCAGCCCCTCACCATGTCACCCCTTGAGACCCCCTGATCCCAAAGAAAGCACTTTCCTCAGACCCCCTGACTCAGACACACCCCCCTCAAATACCCCACACCCGTGACGTGACATGCTCTCGAATACAGCATTCCTCTCAGACATCACTCTTCCCAAAGATCCCGGACAGCTGTTCTGTTCCCCAGAAACCCCACCTCACCCCTTGGATGCCAGACAAGACTTGGCAGATGGCCCGTTCCCTCCAGACCCGTCCGGTCCCTACGGACACCCAGGTGCTCCCCCACCCCGCCACCCAGTGTCCCCTGCATCTCTCCCACAAGATCCCCTCCAGCACTCAGACCCCCTGCCACCTCATTTGCCTTCTTGGGGTCCCCCCACCGCCTGCAGCCAATCTGCCCCCACGCCCCTATGTCCCCTCTGTCTCCTGTCCAATCTCCCCAACTTTCTCTGCTGCTCTCCTTCCCGGTCTCTCCCGCTCTATGTTTCTCTGCACACATCTTTTTCCCCTTCTCTGTCTCCCCCCATCTCTTTTCCATTTTTCTGTCCCTCTTTCCTGGTCTCCCCACAACCCAGGGGTCTCCTCCCATCCTTCCCCACCCACTCTCCCTAACCCCGTGTCCCCCCCCCACCTCCCTCGGTCTCCCAGATCTCTGGCTTCCCCACGCCCCCTCTCCTCCCCACCCCGTCCCTTCTCCCAACTCTCCCCTCTTCCCCCTGTGCCCCCGCCCGGCCTCTGTGCCCCCAGCCCATCCCGCCTCAGTCTCCCCATCTCCCTCCCGGCTCCGCACCTCGCTGGCCACCTCTCTCCCACCTCCCGCTCGCTCTGCCTCTCCGGGTCCCCCTCCCTCCTGCCTCCGCCCCCGCCCCCACCCCCATTGGCCCCTCTCATTTCCGTGTTGGTTTTGATTTCTCTTCCCGACGCTTTCAACTCCCCGCCGCCTCCTCCGGACACGTTATAACGAGGAGCCGTGGGATCGGCGCTCCGGGCCCTGCTCCCACGCTCCCCCCGCGTCTCTCACATGCATCTCTGCCGTCTCGCCGTCTCTGCCGGCCCCTTCTCTGTCCCCGCCTCTGTCCCATCGGGCCCGCAGGGACTGGGTCCCTGCCCCGACTGTCCACAGAGCCATGTCTCAGGGTCCCTGTGTCCCTGTCTCAGGATCCCCACGTCTCCCTGTCTCCACACCGCTCTTTTATGTTTCTAGGTGTCCACGTCTCTCCTCCCCACATCCTTGTCTCCGCATCCCTCAGTCTCTGTCTCCATCTGTCTCTGCGTCTCTGTTTCGTCCTAGTGTCCGTCTCCTGGGGCCCCTTTGATCTCTCCCTGCCCCTGGCGCCCCCCTGGCCCCATTGATCGCTGATCGACCGATAGAAGGAGCGGGGCCTGCGGGGCTGGGGCTGCAGGGCTGGGCAGGGGCCCCAGTAGGACTCTGGACAGACGGACAGCCGGCCCCAGACCTGGTAGCTGTGGAGGGGGAGCTGCGGCAGCCCCTGCCCCGCCGGTCTGCGCCGTGCGGATGGGGACTCCGGGCAAGCTTTAATTTTTAATTTTATTTTGCTTCCTCCACCCCGCCCCGCCCCCCATCTCCACAGCCTGCAGCCACGGCACAGAATGTGTGTGTGCACAGCAGTGGGAGCAGGGCTGCGCAGGCAAGACTCTGCCGCTCTCTTCTCCCTGCCAAGCAGACACACAGCCCAGGCACACACACCACACTGCCACACACAGCACACAGACACGGGTCAACAAAATCACACACACAGGACACCACACTGTCATGGGCCAAGAGTCATACACACACGCCACACAGACACAGGTCACCAAAATCACACACACACCACACCCCACCAACACAGGTCCAGAGTCACACACACACCACACCGTCACAACACATTGCACACAGGTCAACAAAGTGATACACACCACACTGTCATGCCCAACCCATCACACAGACACAGGTCAACAAAGTCACACATATCACACTGTCACGCACCACACAGACATACCATCAGCTGAGTGACACACACACCACTGTCACACACACAACACACATCACACCAATGTGTGATGCACATGTCAACAAAATTGTATGCAAAAAGACTAACAACCCACATATGACCCACAGAGCATGGTGGCACACATACCACTATGTCTCATGCGACACGCAGACATACAGGTCACAAAGGTCACACACTCCATGACCGTCACACACACACCAGGATGGCCAAAGATACTCACAGAGAAACAGACACATGGTTGGTTAAACGTAGACACACATACAAGACACACACCAATTCAGTGCCACACAGAAACAAAGACGCACCATCCCCAATCACAGAAACCCACCCACACAGACACAGAAGGACACACTGAGGCTCACAATCAAAGGCAGACACACAGACTCTATGCCACCCAGGAACAGAAGCCCACCCAGACACACCCCCTGCACAGCCAAATCCCACACAGGTGACACCCAAAAGCACCCAGTGTCCCATAGACACGCACCAGAGGCCCTGTGTGCACACTGCTCCCACACTCACAGAGCCAGAGACGCAGGTGTGGCACCCATACAGACAGCCACCATGAGACCATAAACACACGTGGACCCACCCACCCACACACACATGGGCCAGCCCACACAGCAGCACACTCAGACCCAAAGGCCAGCTGGGTGAGGGGCTGTGTCCAGCTGAGGTGGGCCCTGGGAGCTGAAGCCACCCTGGGCCCCTGCTGCTCCTGCCACCATCCGTCCAGCTGTCTGACTGTCCCCCTCCATCCATGCACTTCTCACGCCTTGTGTGGGCATGTGCGAAATGGGCACGGCTCCGGCCTACTTCTGCTACCATCTCCCCAGAGATGGGGCTCCCGGCCTCCTTGAGGCCCACAGGGCGGCAGGGTCTTGCTCACTGAGGTCTTTGTTGTTCCATCTGCCTCTAGCTCCAGATACCTCTGTTTCTGAGGGCCTGAGTTTCTCGTCTCTGTCTTGGGGCATCTCTGTCTCTCTCTGTCTCGGGGTATCTCTGGCTCTCTGCATCTCTCTCTCTCCCATCGCCTCTGTATCCTCACCCCCCATCACCCCAGCCCCCTGGGCTGGGGTTTAACCAGTTGTTTTGATTTCTCTAAGCTGCTCCGGCCGCCTCGGGAGCCGCCTCGGGCCTCGCCCCCCCTCAACAGCCCCTTCATCCCTCACCCAGTACCCCCTCCCCTTAACACAATCTGCACAAGTGGAATGAAAATTGATTTTTTTTTTAAATTTCATATCTTCTCCGGGGCTCTGTCTAAAGAGGAGAGAGACGCGGCCCAAGACCCTTCTCCTGCCGCCACCCCCGCACACGCGTGCGCACACACACACACCCAACAGGCACACACATCACGCCTGGACACGCACACACACTCCCACACTCCGCCTGCCCCCACTCGGAGACACACCCCTCCCTGTGCCACACACCCACAAGGACACAGCTGTGCCCGTAGCAGACACACACGCAGACTCCTGCACCCTCTCTCCAGGCACCCCCAGTAGGCACACTTCACATACCCTGTCCCATCCTGGCGCACAGAGCCCGGCGGCCTGCTGACATGCTGTGGCACGCATGCACGCACATGCACATACACACACCCCTGTCCATACAGATCACAGCCACATCCAAGCAAACACGAGTTCGAGGGAGGCCCCACTATGGGCACCAAGGAGGTCCCTGGGGCTGTCCCAGGGCGGACAGGGTCAGGAAGGTGATGGGGGCTTTCCTGCCTGGACTTGCCACCTGAAACCCCGAGGTCACCCCAACTCCCCACATG